ATAGAGGGGTTGGAGACAATTGTTAAGTGTGGGCGTCAAGGTTTTGTTGTGGCAGGCAGTGGAGGAGACAGGAGACACAGACACAGGTCTGGGGGAAGGCCCACACTCTCGGAGAGCTGAAAGAAGGAAAAAGGGGCCGAGAAATCCAGGACATATTGCATGGGGCATATTATAAACAATTATTCATTGCTTTATCTGGAATTCAAATCTAGCCTGGCATCCTGTATTTTTATTTGCCGAGTCTAGCAATCCTCCCTTAACCCTGAATGGTTTTATAGAGTGCTCAGTCATGGGGCTATGCTCCCAGTCACAGGGCTTGTCCAGACTCTAGGTCCTGAAATGGCATTGTTAAGTAGAGATACATTAGGATAGAAGGCACTTGAAGCTGGTCATCTGGTGGCAGTGTGCTAGAAAGATCGTCAGAGCCGCCCTGTTCCATTCTTTCCAAGGCCTGTGGATCAGTCTTTCTTTAAATTCTGCAGCCTCTGCCTTTGATTTCCAATCTATCTTCTTCTGTCCCTTAAACTAGTCAGAGTTGGTTTCTGCTGCTTGTAGCCAAAGAACCTTACCCCATATGTATCCATTCAGCCACTAGAGTGTCCAGAAATGTTGTGAGGATGGGTCCAAGGGGACAAAGAGCTGGACATAGGCAGAAGGGAGGGGTGAGGGCACGCCGGGCCTGGAGTCTGGTGAGTTGTTTGTATCTGTGGCTTCAAACAACAACAGAGAGCCCTGAAGGGACTGAAGGATTGTGAGTGGGGGAAGGACTTCATAAGAGTGACATTTGATTTAAAAAGTCATTTTGAAAGCTGGACATTCAGTGTTTTGTCCAAGAAACTGGCTGCCAGTGGTGGGAGGGGGCTGCTCCCAGGGTCCAAATGTTAGGCCAGGTAGGGGTGAGGAAGTGAGAATGCAGGGGGAGAGAAAAATGGTGAGAATCACCTCAGAAGAGGCTCTTGGCTTTAGTGACTTTCTGGTTATGGAGAGTGTCAGAGAGAAAGTGGGGAGCTCCACATGGGTCATGAGCAGCAGCAATTCTGTCGAGGGTGTGGCGGGGGCGGGGGGGGGGCTGCCCTGGCCCTGGCCCTGGCCCTGGCCCTGGCCCTGGCCCTGGCCCTGGCTTCCCAGAACCCAGAACACATGAGGAGCGCATTGGAACGGAGCAGCGCACTCTTCTAGTTGGCTCTGTGCCTCCACCCCAGGGGAGGGATGTGGTGAGAGCGGCGACTGCAGCAGAAAGTGACAGGGATGATTAAAGGGATGGAAAATCAGGCCCATGAAGAAAGGTTAAAGGGATTGTAGCTGTTTAGCGTGGAGAAGAGGGGCGGCGTGTAATAGCCGCCTTCAAGTCGGCGCAGGGCTGTTAATAGACGCGTACTAGGAAGCTGCCGGCACATCAGCGCATCCGGGGAAGACAGCACCCCCCTACCCCCTCCCCGGGCTGGCTGGGCACCTCCTAGGAGGGAGACGCAGGCTCCAGAGGCAGGCAGAGGCATAATTAGAACGGCTCTCTTGTGGTCTCTGAAGGCCCCCTCCCCTCCCCATTGTTATTTGTGCTTGTCATTATGCTCTGCAGACCACAGCCAGCCTCTTGACAGCACCAATATCTGCTTTTCTGCACACTCGGAAGGTAATGTGACTATGAAATTGACAGATTAGATAAATGCCAGTACAAAAGATAGACTATGCTAGCTTTAGGGAGTGTTCTGACTGGTCCCAAACCCGACCTGAATAAATTGTCCTCTCTCCCTCCTGCCACCCCCAGCCTTGTCTCTGCCACCTGGGTTCCCCACACATCCCCCAGGACTCACATGTGCTCTGCCTCCCTGTCTTTGTCACTTCAGCAACATGTGAGAGGTCTTTTATTTCTTTTCAGGTCAAATTTGTTTCATTTCACTTTCTTTTTACATAGAAAATACTCTTCTCAGCCCCAAACTCATGTTCTCTTGGTCAGGCTGCCACAGTCTGTCCTGAAGGAGGTCCAGAAGCCCTTGACCTAGGCCTCCTCAAATCCCTGGTGGATGTGTGAGGGCCTAATGGTGTGGTGACTGAATTTTCCTCAGCCGAGGACACAGGGAACATGGCTGCTGAAGGAAGTAGATTATGACACTTCCGCATCGGAGCTAGGTAAAGAGTCTGGGAGGAGGGCAGAAAGGCCACCTCTAAGATTTACTTGGTTTTTGTTTGGGCATTAATGAAGGGAGGGCATCAGCAAGTGTTACTCAATGCAGGCAGGGTCTTCTGAGTAGGTGAGGAGAACATGGAGGCTATATTACCACCAGGAAGTTCTGTCAGGAAGCAGAAAACTTAGGCCTGTGCCTGCCTTTTTCTCCTCTTGTGTCAGAGATCATATTTGCCACCAACAGGCTGGGCTCCGGTGGCCTAAGGAGTCACCATGGATGTAGATGGGGCCTGGGGGCTTGGGGAGAGCAGAAGGTAAATCTGCTCATCCCAGGATTGGGGCAAACTGAGTTCCACCCTAGACAAGACTAATGCTCTGCCCCCTTCCTCCCCTGGCTGTGGGATGCCCAGAGTACAGGTCAGGCTTGTATTCACCCCTGTGACCCCAGGATGAACACCCAGCAGGCAGAGTGGCCCCGAGGCAGTTGGGACGGTGGTCTCAGGACCAGCAGAAGTGCCCTCTGACCTCCAGTTTTTACCGCCTTTCCCTCCAAGGCCAGTGTGAACACTGAATTGCCTGGCAGCCACATCCTCACCTTGCACGCTTGGAACAGAGTGGGCGCTCTGTACATGTTAGACATCAGTGGGACAATTTCAACATCACTTATAGGACGGATGGCACTGATGCAGCACAGGGGCAACTCTGGGAAGCCTGGACCTCTGGGACCTGGGCATTCCTTCTTCTAATGTAGCTTCACATGCCTGGCACTACTGCTGCTGCCCCTCACAGTGGCCAGCCTGGGAGGGACTGGATGGCCTGGCCTTCCTTTTCCCTTCATTTGTTGCTGCTTACCTTGGTGATCGTCCTTTTTCCTCCTCTCCCTCCCCCTCCCCCTTCCCCTCCTCCTCCTCCTCCTCCTCCTCCTCCTCCTCTTCTCCTCCATCTCTGGCTCTCTCTCCGGCTCTCTCTCCTCTTGTTCACAAGCAAAGGGGAAAGCACAGGAGTCCTCAGTCCTGCAAAGAGGCCTGCCCCTTTCTGAGCTCCATTCCACTGGAAAACTCAGAACAATTCCTATTATTTTTGGTTCCCAGACCTTGAATGTGTCAGGCTTCAGGTTCACTTCCTACATCTCTCCCTGATGCCAGATCTGCAAGTAATTTAACCTTGTTTTCACAGAACGCAAAGATGTTCCGCTTGTTTACACTGGAGACAAATTTTCCTCAATTGACGCAATCCTATTGATTAAATAATGACTTTCTTCCTCATTTAAAGGTAATTTTGGTTGGTATCATGATATGGAGGAAAGTGAAAGCCTTCTCTGTCCTGCAGTAGGATGGCGAGGCTTGGAGAGCCAACTCCCAGGGCTCTGAGCAGGGTCTGCTCCTTTCTCTCACCTGCTCTGGAACCTTGGGTGGGGGTTGGCTAAACATGGCCTGATCCTGATTAGAGGATTAGGGAAATTCAAGAGCCACACTGGTGGGTAAAGAATGGGAAGGCTGGGGCAGAGTAGATGCTGCTCTCTTAAAAATGCACATGATTTGCTTCCAAGGTTATTCACATCTAATAAACTAGGACTTGTACATACACTATTTTTCAAGGTCCTGTCAGTGACAGCCAGGACATGTCACTTGAGGCAAGGATTTAACATCAAAAGGAAAGGAAGCAGTGCAATTAGAACCAAAGACAGCCACATGAGTAGGAAAGTTGCCAGGTGGGGGTGGCTGGAGAGTCAGGGGCTGGGGGAAGACCTTTACTGCATCTGGGCCTGGGTCCTCCTTGGTAAAACAGGGATGATTGGATTACATAGTTTCTTAGGCACTTTCTGCTTGAGTGTTCTGGTGTCGGATGAAATCTAACAACAGTTATTATTTGCATCCACTCCGGATCTTTTTACTGTGTGTTTTGATAAGGATAAGCACGGAGGATGACATTTGGGAGGATGTGTCCTCTCTTTGATGGCCTTTCAGTGAAGTCAGGACAATGCATTCTGTGTTAACAGCGCTACTGGAAAGCCAGCTATCCCTGTATGTTCTATGGGGGGAGGGGTATTATGCAATGATTAAAAAATAATTTTGTACCTGCTGGGGAGATGTAACTCAGTGGTAGGATATTTGAATGCATAAGGCTCTCAATTCGATCCTGTGTACTGTTAATTTTTTTTTCACTAAAGAAAGTAAACAACTAAATAAAAATAATTTAAAAACCCTTTTAAATTCTTAGGAATTTATTTCCAAATGGAGATAAAAAGTAGCATAAATAGCATGGCTGGGCAGGAGCTAGATATTAATAAGAAAAATGACAGGTGACTTGCTAAGGTTTTTAGGCACTTTTAGGCATTCCTTCATTTTCTCTTTGCCAGGGTTTGTCAAACATTCTCTGCAAAGAGCCACAGAGTATATATTTTAGCCTTCTTGGGATATAAGGTCTTGGGGACAAGCATTCAGCTTTGCTGTTGTAATAGAAAAGCAGCTATAGGTAATGTGTAAACAAGGTTGTGTGGCTGTGTACCAATAAAACTTTATTTATGGTCCCTGGAATTTGAATTGCATGTGTCACAAAATACCTTGATTTTTTTCAACAATTTAAAATGTAAAAACCATTCTCAGCTCCTAGGTAGTAAGCCAGATTTGGCCCCTGGACCATAGATGGCTGGTCTCTGTCCTTTACTACAACCTTTTAAGGGAGGGACTAATGAACAGTTGAGAAAATCAAGGGTTACTGAGGCCAAATACCTTGTCCATGTTTACCAGTTAGAAGGGGTAGAACTAGAATTTAATCTAAAAGGCAGCTCTTTAACTCCTACTTTTCAGGGATATCCCATTAGGGTAGAACCTGGGGGACTCTGCTCCCTCTGACTTTGATTAATAGTTACACAATCTTCCTTTTGATCATATTTATTTTTCAGAAATCAGTGGTTCAGGTTTAAAACATTAGAGCAAGATCAGTCTCTCATGAGGGCAGTAGATCCCTGGCGGGCTGGGGAGTTACATGGGCCAATGGCTCAAAAGTGGACTGGGTAGGAGACAGGGGCAGATGGAGGAAATGGGGAGTTCGTTCTTTGAGTTTCTAGACCCAGGAAGAATACTGGGGGTCAGCTTGCTCCTTCTTAGGATGGAGAGAATTGGAGCTGAGGTTGGGCATGTGGCTCTTCTATTACCTTATAATTCTGTTCTTGAAGAATGATGCATTTTGGAAAGTTCTCCAGTGCTTCCTGGAAGTCTTTTTAATATTTCAGAGATGGACAGGCTGTGTCTGCAGAGATAAACTCTCACCTCCCAGCGGTGGCCATGCCTTCTCCTCCTGTGCTATCCACACTGGCTGGGCTCTCAGAGAAGCCAGGACACCTTCTAACTCAAACAGCGTGCTCTAGGATGTCATGAGCTGCTCACTCTGGGAGGATGTTGGAGGATGGTGGAAAGCAGGAGGCAAGGGTGGAAGAGGGTTTGAAGCTCCCATCCATAAAAACATTTGCTGAGCACCTAAGGCACGTTGGCTCCAAAGCCAGGAGCCCCCACATCGATTATTTCCTTTGATTCCCATGACTGGCTCCTGAGAGAGGCACTGTGGTCCCACTAGCTAGATGAACACACTGAGGCTCAGGATAATTTGTCATTTCTGAAGGGATGGAACCAGAGGGCGGCAGAATCAGCCCAGTTAGCTCTCTGCTTCCCATCACAGGACTGGGAAAAGGAGTGGCCTGGAGTTTCAGCTCCGACCCTCGATAGCTGTGTGCCTTGAACAAGTTACTTGATGTCTCTGAGTCTCAGTTTCTTCACTTTCCATGCTTGCCACGAAACAAAAAGGAGTATCCTAGGATGATGTCTAAAACAGTGGTGCCAGGAATGGAAATGTTTCTATGTACAGTTGCTGTTTCCTTTCTGCTTCAAGATGATTTGATTTTGTGAGGTTGACTGAATAATCAATCTTACTCAGTTTGGAGTCATCAGGGCCTAGCAGAGAGCCAGGCATAGAGCAGACACTCAATAAATATTTGTTCAGTGAATGGATACACAGTATATATCCACTGATGCCAACCATCTGGATGCTCAGGCACGTGGAAATGATGGATTCTTGACTTTTCATTCAAGGGTTGGATGTCATCCTAGAATACAGACAGCAAAAATGATCTGAAATGATAGGAACTCAATCAGGGCTCCCTGAAGCAGACTCATGGTGGGGATGGAGTGTAAATCAGCAAAAGTCTGTAGGTGATTTGTTATTTTCAAACCACTACAGCTACATCACCGGGTGTATTTATTTACCATCCGTTCATCCATTCACCCAATCATTCACCAGTGGCCTACAGGGGCTCTTGGGGCTTCCTTTAATAAATGGCCAAGAGAGCAGCATAATCTGCAGCATGGCCATTATTTGGAGGTAAATAGAAACTTCTAAATTGCTTGTGGGAGCTTGGAAACTGACTGTTCTCAAGTGTGCCAGACATTCCTCCCATATCCAGAAGCTATCTCCACACTGTCTGTGAAGAATCTTCACACCAATTTACAGCCATGTACTTATCTGCCTGCTGCCTCTGAATGCATGGAGGGTGGGTGACCCAGGGGCCTGGATCCCGAGTTGGGGAGTATGGGAAACATACTGGACTTACAGGAGTAAACATCCTATGTATGGGCAGGGTGAGGCAGGGCCATTGTTATTGAAATCAAAAGACCAGTGGAAGGACCCCATTTTTATTTTTAAAAAATAACCCAGGCACACAACCATACCTTTAGGTCTACTGCATGTACATGCTATTTGCCTCCACACTAAAATTATTCCAGGTGGCTATGTTCTGGGGACTTCTATTTGTGTGGTGTTTGCTAGCCTGTATTTTAGAGCTAACCACCACTTTTCCAATCTCCAGTAAGCCGCCATTGGAGTTTGGTGCCTTCTCATTTGCTGACTGCTTCTAATATTCCACGGACAAAACCCAAAACAAACAAACAAAAAAACCCAACTGCAAACATAAGCTTGTAAGTATTTGTGAAACAAGAATGAAAAGAAATGAGTCTGGGGGGTCCTCCTGTAAGCCCTGTCAGGCACCTGAACGTGCAATGTCCACACTGGCTGTCTGGAGGCCTTTTCCTCTGCTGTGCTCTTCATTGTCCGCTGGGCAGCTGATCTTGGCGCTGGGGAGACTTTACATGAATGCCTTACTATGCGCCCTTGTGGCATCCTTCTGAGGCGGGGAAGTAGCTTCATTTCTCAGAGGGGGAACCAGAGAAGTGTGAGCCATGGCTCTCTTCATGCCTGGCCTTCAGGATTACTCTAAGTGAAAAGGCATGTGGTGTGTTTATTTGTGAACAGCCACACTGACTACCCACTTATTACAGTTTAGAAGTTGATTTTTTGGGGGTATACTTTGATCAGAGCAGCTTGCTTCTTGACCTCTTTCTGGAAAATTCTGGTGTCAGAGAAGGAGCACTCAATTAGGCCTCAGAAGTCAGGAGTCACAGACCAGACCTTGCTCTGTAAGGTCCCTTAACCTCTCTGAACCATCATTGCAAAATGTAGGGCTTTAGTTAAACCTGACATCTGTGAGGATCCCTCCAATAATGCCTTGTGTGTCTTTGACTCTTCTGTGAGCTCTTCAGAGCTGACCATCTTCATGACTGGGGCTGAGTGATGTGAAATGGCAGCTCCCTTCCTGGAGAGAATGGCTGCGTGGCCAGCTGTCATAGAGTAGGCAGTGGGGGTTAGCACAGGTTTTCGGTATCACAGCTCCAAGACTGGTTTATGCTAGTGACCTCCATCCTCCTTGGCATGTGCCCAGAGTCTGGGAGGACCTGGGTGGGGTGAGATGGTCCATGTGTCACTCCCCTGGGTGCCTCTCCGTCTGCCCTTTCTCACCTCAGCCTCCCCACTCCGCCCTGCTTCTGCCAAGTTGGAGCCATGGGCCAGCCTGTCTCGTTCCAGAGCCAGTTCTGACCAAGGCAGGAAATGGATGTGGAGCCTCAGCCTGCCAATGGAAGGAGGAGGGGGCTGGAATCAGGTCTCATCCTTTCAAATCCTTAACGATCCTGCCTTGGTTAAACCTCACAGGCGACGGTGGTAGCACCACTCAAAGCTGATATTAAGTCGTATTCCTCAGATGTGGGCTCCAGAGGCTCAGGCATGACTCCCGGACTCCCGGGTGCTTCCCCTTGCTTTCCAGTCCTCTTTGCTCCACACTCCGAGTGTGTCAGAGGCAGTCTGCTCCCAGAATTTCCTATTCATGCCCATCCACCAGTGGTGTCAGCAGTGATTCCCATCATCTGACAATGGTCTTGTCTCGTTCTCCAGACCTTGCTCCTTTGTCCTGAGGCTGGGTGGGAGGCTGGGGGCTCTGGGATGTTGCAGCCTTCCCTTGGCTTGCTGGGGGGTACCCCACTGGGGATGGACTGGGCCTGGACCTGGGCCCTGCTGGCATCTCCTCTTGTCTCCAGGGCTAAAACCTCGGTGGTCACCTGCAAGAGCCAGGCCTGATCTGGCCTCACAGCCCTCAGTGTCCTCACAGGCTGCAACAATTAGCTCAGAGCTTGAACACACTCCTTCCAAAAGCCTGCCTCTTTTGAGGCCCCTTGAGAAGCAAAAGCAGATGAACACTTGCCTTTTGAGAGAATCTCTGTTTGTGCTGATCCATCCTGAGATGTGATTAGGACCTGGGAGGCCCAGGTCTCCTTGAAATCTTCTCAGGAAGCATTGGTTGACCTGACCTGTAACTGATACCTGAACTGTTTAAGCCCTAATCTCAGAAAAAGCAATATGAGGAAGTTTGTAGTGATAGGGGCTTTTGGTGTCTGAGCAGCAGAACTGAAAATAGAGAAGGCACGGAGGGTAGGGAATTTGTCAAGGTGTCTGCTGTAGGCGAGAGAGCGCTGATCCTAGATGACAGGTGCTCCCTCAGACACAGGGCCGGCTCTCAGAATGCACCATGTCCAGGCTCAGCTTCAGGGCTCTGAAGAGTGAGGGCCAGGGCTGGCTGGATGTGTCCTCCATGTCTGAGTTTGCTGTTCTACAGGGAGGGCCAGGGCAAGCAGTTCCCTCTGGAACGTGCCAGGAACCAGAGCTTCCGAGCTTGTGAAGTGGGAGTCTGAGGCCATCCTGATCCTTTGCCTCAACCATCCCATCAGCAGCCTGCTGGCAGAGGTGACTTTCTACATCCACCCCTTCGGGGGCCTAGCCTCATGAGGAGGAGCAGACTTGGGGGGCAAATTGGGGCTTCTCCACTCCTCACCTGGATCTTCCATCATTCCCATGGCTGCTTGGCCAGGCAGTGTCAGGAAAAGGCTCATAGGAGCGGATACTTCCAGAATCCTTTGATACAATTCACAGGAGGCAAGAGGGGAGATCTCAAGGCCTTAAGGAAGAGTCTGGGAGTTGGAGTCGGGGAGGAGAGAGGGTAAAGTCCCCTGGAATTGCTGAAATCTTTGTCCTGTTCAGTCTCCACCAGTCCCAGGTCTGCTGATGGGGCAGCAGTGCCCCCTGGTGGTCACCACATCTGGGACTTCCACCGCTACCCCACCCGGTTCTCCTAAAATATCTTTTCTCCTCTCCTCCTCCCCTCCCCTCCCCTCTCTCCTCTTCTTTCCTAGATGGGAGACCTCTTCATCTGGGGACTCCAATTCCCACATCCACAGTTCTTTCCTCCTACCCATTTCCTTTATCTATCCCTTTCCCCCTTTCTTCTGGAAGAACTCAGATTTTGTCTTTTGGAGCCTCTCTGCAGAAAACCATTCCATAGGGGTGATTTAATAAACTAGCAATAAGATGTTGACAGATGATAAAGCATAACAAGTTAGCACTGTCCAGGGCTTCACCTGGCCACAGCAATAGAGTCCTTTCAATGTACCACTTGTTTCTTAAATTTCCTCCACTCCATTCCAAATCTAAGCAGCCAGTGTGTACTGAAGGCTTATTCTGAAGCAGTGCCTGTTTTGGGGATACACCTCCTGTCTTGAGTTGGGTCTCCTAACTGCCCTACTCCTAATTCTCCAGAACTGTATTAGTCACAATAACCTGGCTTTCTTCCCTGGCCATGGGGTCCTCAAGGCTGGCAGCCTCATTCCATGAAATGAGATGAAAAGTAGCTGCCCGAGTAGAGTTCCTAATCTTGGGCGTTTACCACTGCTGTCTCTGCCTTGGCTTCTGCAATGCCATGGCTTCTTGTCACTTGCAGTCCAGCCATGGGACTGGTGGATAAGTGGGAGGCAGTACCCATGTTTGGTGGTCCAGGATGGGAGCCCCCCCTACCATCCTAAATGGGCCCCAAGGAGGGGTTGAGGCAAGAGGTAATTAAAAGTCAGATACTCTATTTTCCTAAAAGGGAAAATATCTAAGTTAAAATGAAGCTTATTCTAGAACAGAAAGTGTGGCCTGCTCTCCAGCCTGGACACAGATAAACACTCACTTCCTGCCCCGGGCTGAATCTCCTTCCTCTATGGGATCTGCAGTCCTCCCTTCTGCTCTGGAGGCCAGGATGTAGCTCTGAGCTGTGCAGACTGCATCCAACTACCTATCACCGTGCACCACCTGCTCACTGGGATTTGAGGCTCTCATATTTGGTGGAGTAATATTTTTCTAGTGTTTATTTTTTAAAGTTTTGCATCTGTGGTGCCCACCTCCCATTTAGAAAATTAAGTGCTTACAGATGTTGCATGTGGTCCAGCATTCTCCCAGGCAATGAAACCACTGGGTTTTGGATATCATTTCAAAAGGGAGAGGAGGGAGGAGAAGCTGGATGTCTCTGATGTAGGTGGCAACATCTCTTGACCTTCAATAAAATGGCCAAACGTGAATCACATTTAGAAACAGAAGGGTGGAGAATGTCTTGAGGTTTGAGAACGCAAGTGTTAGAAAGCCTGCACTGAAATGGCCACTGAGGTCATTTGCCGGATGTCTGCAGAGGGTGAGCTGAGTCTGCAATGTGTATGAGCACAGCGCTTGGCCCTCATCACCACCCGAGTCCCATGTCAGCCTTGGCCAGCCAAGGCAGCCACTTTCCTTGGGAACCACGGTAGCACTGTGAGTTTAGGTGAGTGGTGTTCCAGCCTAGAGTAGAGCCTGGCAGATCGCCATCCCACCCCAAACCCCGATTCTCTGTGGTTTCTGTCTCCCCTCCCCAGG